TTCTCCGGCCATGCTGAGGCCGCGTCCCACATACAGCAACTAGAAGGATGTGCAACTATGACATACAACTATCTACTGGGGCTTTGGGGAAACAAGAGGAGGAGGATTGGCAATAGATGTTAGCTCAGAGCTGGTCTTCCTCAGCAAAAAGAGGAGGATTAGCATGGATGTCAGCACAGGGCTGATCTTCCTCACACACAAAAAAGAAAGGCCCTCTTACCTTAAGGTTGGTCACGTAAATGTGCTGTTGTCCCCTTGCTTTCCCCATGCTCTGCCTTGCCCTGCCCATGGTGGCCATGTCCTTCCCCAGGGCACATGCCCCCTGGTTCACCATTTTACTGGAGACTTCCTTCTCCCACGAAGCATTACTACTGGGTCTGACGCTCAGGGCCACCCAGCAAGGGCTCGGAGAGTCTCCTCACCTGGGCAGTTCCTGGCTAGGGGAAGCCTTCCTGCACCACAGGGAAGGGGAGGAAGGTGCGATGGCGTCAGGGTTCTCTGTGGTCAGGGAGAGATTGCGCCTTCTGAAACTAGCAGCCACCCAGGGCCCTGTGACTGGAGACTGACAGGTGCGTCTCCTAACTGGACTGCAGAAGTCCTTGTGGGATGGACCTGGTGGCCTCATCTAGGAAGGGGACAGGCCAGTTATCACCTCACAGATGCCAGGGAATCCATGAGCCCTGAATCCAACTCCTCCACCTGGTAGGGACTGTTCCACAGAGGCCGGAGATGTTCCGCCCGGCCTGCCTTCTCTTCCCTCCATTCCCCCAGCCCCAGGTGTTGAGCTCGGACCTAGCGCAATGGGAAGCAGGGAAGTGACGCAGGAGGCAGAAGAGCTGTGGGTGGCGGCCCTGGGAGAGGGGCACCAGCATTAGCTCAGGTGGGGCGGCTGCAGGGAGGGTGCGGAAGTCAGAGCCCAAGACCTTCGGCCTGCTTCTGAGTGGCAGCAGCAAAATGCCTTAAAATGACTTCTCTAACCAGCACAAAGTGTGGGTGCTCTGTGACAAATCCCGAAATACTACTTAGAAGCCCAAATGCAGTTTTTCATCAATAACAAAAATAATAATAATTATATAGCCAACAGCCCTACAAGGCAGGTCATTTTCCTCTTTTTTGTAGGTAAAGAGACTGAGGCACAAAAAGGGTAAAGAGACTTGCTAGAGGTCACAGAGCTGGTCCTCAGGGAAGCCTTGATTCAAACCCAGGCAGCCTGGTGTAGGCTATCTCCGGGCAGGAGAACCTATTTTAGGGTTTCTGGCATTCGGGTGCAAAATGGCAAATAAATATAGTCCCAATTACAGGCAGCTTGAGGTTTGCAAGAATCAGTCTTTTCTCTTGAGTGACTGATATCTTTTCATTGAAATTGTAGGAAATCAGTGGAAGCCTGTGGCACAAAGACCCTGGTCCCATCTGGAGCTGTCTCACTGGCCCTTGCCCCTGCTCAGAAACGTGGACTCGAGGTCCCTGCCTCCTACACAGCCCGGGGCACTTCCATACGCCAGCACCCTGATCAGAGTACTGAGGACAGACTTTTATTTTGAAGTGCATGTGCAGCAAGCTTTGTACGATGTCGCCAGACATCCCAGTGTCCTCTTGCTGGGGCCTGGCTACAGGAACTTGCCATACAGGAAACTTACTGGGGCAGCACTGGCCCAGTATGGAGTAACTGCCCCTTGCTCCACTGCAGTGACTGGCACCTTTTTTTTTTTTTTTTGTGAGGAAGATCAGCTCTGAGTTAACATCCATGCCAATCCTCCTCTTTTTGCTGAGGAAGACTGGCCCTGGGCTAACATCTGTGCCCGTCTTCCTCTACTTTATATAGGACGCCGCCACAGCATGGCCTGACAAGCGGTGCATTGGTGGCGCTCGGGATCAGAACCCGGGCCGACAGCAGCGGAGCGCGTACACTTAACTGCTACGCCACGGGGCCGGCCCCATTGACTAGCACCTTCTAACTGCAGGCTGTCCCCGTGAGTCCCCGAGACGCCTGGTGGCCACACCTTTCCTTAAATCCTTTGGCGACTGCAGCCTGGCATTTCAAAGTTCCTCTCATTCCTGAGTCAGGGGTAATCCTTTCTGGAAATCTCTGCACTTCCACTGAGGGAGTTTCTCCCCAGGCCCTCCAACCTAACTCAGGGGCAGCAAGGGAACAGCTGTGGAGCTGAACCTGGAACATTCTAGTCCTGACTTGACAATGACCATGGACAAGTTACATCACCCCACTGAACTTAAGTGCCCTCATATCAAAGAATAGGAGTTCCGGGGCTGGCCCGGTGGCTTAGCGGTTAAGTGTGCGCGCTCTGCTACTGGCGGCCCGGGTTCGGATCCTGGGCGCGCACCAACGAACCGCTTCTCCCGCCATGCTGAGGCCGCGTCCCACATACAGCAACTAGAAGGATGTGCAGCTATGACATACAACTATCCACTGGGGCTTTGGGGAAACAAGAGGAGGAGGATTGGCAATAGATGTTAGCTCAGAGCCAGTCTTCCTCAGCAAAAAGAGGAGGATTAGCGTGGATTTTAGCTCAGGGCTGATCTTCCTCACAAAAAAAAACAAAAACAAAAAAACCTTAGACTATAAAAAATATGTAGTTAAAAAATATAATGACCCAACCTCGTAACGTTTTTCATAATCATTTAACTTTTTAGAGATCTTTAAGGCACCGATCTCTAGTTGAGAAGAAATAATCATCCGAAATCTGGCAATTATTTATATTTTACTTGTGGTGGGGTTTTCTGACTTATTTTCCAGTAAAGGAAAATTATTTTTTATTTTAAAAGTTCTCTCTAAAAAACCTGAGCTAGCTTCCCAAATGTAAACTTATGCAAAATTGATCAAATCTAACGATACCACAAAAATAACCACCATCTGTCTTAAAGAAAGTGTCTTCTGTATGAATGGGGACTAGTCCACAGAAGATTTCATTTAACTGATTTTATTGTAACTGGATCAGGTCTAAGACCAGGGAAACGGAAACAGCCTTGTTACAGAGAAGCACACATAATATAATAGTTCTAATTGAAATTCAGTTTATCTTATAGGAGAAGTATAAATATTTGAGTATTACAAGAGCTGACTACATTCAAGTTTATATTTTCTGCCAAAGGATTTGATCTTTTGCCATCCAAAAACAATCACTTGTCTCCTAACAGCTGTAACAGGAAATTGCACAATCCCAAGAACTCCCAGGGGTGAGGAGTGTTTCTCTTTGACCTGCTAGCAGCAAACCCCACAGAAGACGCATCCCCACTCCTATGAAGACACGTGCTGCTACATGACATGGCGATTGTGTTTGATTTTAGACCACACAGTACGGCTTTCCTCTTGAAGTGAAGCTAATAATAGCAGCAGCGTTTTTTTTTTTTTCCTCTTTATTCTCAAACTGATTGTTCATGAGAAAACACACGGAGCAGATTAATAATGTGACTTGAATCTTGAGCCTTTTCTTTCCAGCTCAAGCACACTCTTCTCATAATATTCTGGTCATCAGCTTCTCTCTTTTTTCCCTTCAGAGTCCTTTACAAAAGGGAATGTGTGGCCTGGCCTTCTATATTATTCCCAATTTCCAGGTGGAAAAATGAGACAGATGAAGTGACATCTAAAAACAATGGGGATTATATTTTTAAAAACAAGACAGATCTTCTTGCTTTAATTCTTCTCTACATTACCATGGTAAAATATTGATCAAAGTCCAAGAGATTACCAATACACAATAACGACCAAGGACTTCACATTAATGGAGCTATCAATAATGAATTCATCAGTGAAGTAACTGGAAAAAAGTTCAAATGTACAGGGTGATTCACTATTCTGTTTATACAGTTTAGAAACAACCATAACAAACACCCAGAAAGTTCTAAGTAACATTAAATAATAACTGATACCTCTGAAATACTGCAACATCCTGAAGAACTTTCTAAATGACCAAAAAGAGATGAAATTCTGTTCAGTATAACTTTAGTTGTTTTTTTACACAGAATTATATTATTTTTAAAAATTGGTAATCCATGTAAGACACACACAAAACCCTTAACTGACTAGATTGTTCAATGAATAGCACGTTGCTTTGCTGTTATGGACTAATGAGCTTATAATTCAACAAAACCCTTTTAAGAAGCTCTAGTCTACAGAATGACATGTTCAAATGGTTTGGTCCTATTAATTTTGTTAACAAAAACCCCAAATTCCTTTATAAGATGTTTAATTCCTCTGAACATCATCTTTAAAGGGTCTGACTTGATTTTTCAAAACAAATCACAAGTGGAACCCTCCAGTCTCGAGTCTACAGGTTCTGCATGAGTTTCAGTTCAGTGTAAGCCCACACAGTGACCTCCCATGAGTTCTCCATTGGAGATTTTACAGCACCAACTTGAACACTTTCCACAAAGTATCCTGTCCTTCTCTAGGCTTTTGGTAGAATGTCAAATTAATAATGGCATGTGGTGTTCCTTAGCATAACCTGCCAAAATGTGATAATTTCCTTGGAAGAAAAGCCATGGGCTGCAATCACACGTCTGAGCTGACAGACATCCAAGTGGATCCTATATAAAAAGAAAAGGTTTGTGTCTTCTGGAATATGAATGTCCACTTTTAATAAATTCAAACATATCCCAACATAAACATCTTCAAACTTGATGGGTTTTACGTGACTCATCATTTCATAGATTCTTGGCACCAAATCTCTGGACATTACATAACCCAACCCACTGCAGTAGGGAGGAAACACCTTGAACGGATACTCCTGGTATGAAATATGGGTTTTTTGGTAAAAGCCTCTATAGGAATAATTATCAATTAGAGGATAACCTGTGAAAAACTTCTCTGAGTGGTTCAAATTTAAAAGATACTTCACTAAATTGCCAGTATTGATGAAAACATCAGTGTCTGTCTTCATGATGTACTTGGCATTGGGGCAAAACTCAGTTACCCACCTGAATGCCATAATTGTTTTCAAGGTCAGGTTATTATATGTGTCTAAAAAATCTTGTCGTATTATGTCGCCATAAAGAAGGTGTTCATCCTCTAAAGACAATGCTAACACTTGGTCTTCCCTTTCAGCCTGTCGGCCTAATAAGAAAAACGTAAGAACCTCATATCCCCACCACGACTTTTTTTCACCCCAAGTAACTCTAATGGCCTGTCTGGCTTTCACATCTGAGGGGTGTGAGGTCACCAGGATGACAAGAAATGGGTTTTGAAGAGAGCAGTTTGAATGCTCTCGAAGTGTGAAGCGGAAGTCTTGTCTGTAAATTGGCTCATACTCGTAGAAGTACATCCAGTTTACACGCTCGATCACGTTGTACTGGGGCAGGCTGAGGTACCACATCACCAGGAAACTCAGGAGTGACAGCAGCAGGAGGCTCCACTTGAGGGTTCTCAGTGACATCCTACTTGGAAGGGTGGTCACGAGAGCCAGGGCCATCCACAGCAGCTCGGAAGCACGCGAGCTTCGGGTTCTGAAAAATTTATCAAAGACCTAGTTAGTATTCTACCACCCACCACACATTTTCAAACGATATCTGATTATCACTTAAGGAGAGAGTCGGAGAACAGCAGCTCCAAAGCAAAACCAAAAACTCTGACCTGAATCCGCTTCACTTCACTGAACTGTAAGAAAAAGGGACACCAACAACCAAAACGTACTTCAGCTTTTGAAATCAAGACAGAGGTTAAAAACACATCCTTGATTATTTGGGGAAAATTAATACTTCTTGTTTGACATAACTGTTGAAATATGATTTTGTCCTGAATGTCCAGAGGAACAGAAAGAGATGAGTAATGGAGGGGGTTAAAAAATAAATCTACAATAAATTCCCCCTCTACAAAAAACCTGCATCCCTCCTTTACCACCGTGACCATGAAGTATGTAAAGGATTTAAAGCAAGATGTCCAAATAAACCAAGGGTCCTTCTCAGCTGTGCGATCGGATATGGATTCTAGCAAATCTAGAGTAAGAAAAACCCAGTAGCTACAATTATTCATGGTGACCTGCTGGTGGGATAAGATAAAGGTGGAGAGTCTTCACCCAAACGATGAGTCCTTCAGACACAAACAGGATAACCATCGCTGGAGTTTTTAAATGCTCAGACTGTGAAATAGCCTTACTTGCCCAAAACGCCACCCAGGTCCCTTTCTACCTCATTGGCCGAACTTAGTGCTCACTCTGGATAGTGGGAGCTTACAAGGCCTGTCTGTAGTATTGTGGGGTTTTTTTTTGTTTCCCATTCCAATCTATTCAGAAATCATGTACCAGATCAGAATCACAGGATGGAACCTCCTAAAACACTTGCTTTTATACAGAACCTCCAGCTGTGACAAGAAGACAGCTAGGTGACACACAGCATTCACTGTGGAGTGACAGCCGCGGCCTCGGCTCTGCTCCAGATCCTGAGGATGAGGCTGGATTACAACTTGGGATCCCACGGGGCTTTCCTGGCACCAAGACCACAGCCCTCCATCTAAAGACATTCACGCACTAAGTGTTTACTACACATCTTCCCCATCCAGACTATACCAGGCACTAAGTGTCTACTACACACCTTCCCCATCCATAGACTACACCAGGCACTAAGGAGACCACAGGAAGCAGGAAGCGGGAGGAGCAGAAAATCCCGAGGTTACATGTAAGCACGGCATGCAGCATAGCACAGACTGATCTATCAGATGCTCAGGACTTCAGAGCAGGGGACACGTCAACACCATGGGGGGCAGGCTGAGGAGCTTCTGACGGGGCCCATTCACCCACAGTCATCTGGGAACCCAGAATTTGCTATGGGGGACGTACGTTAACGTCATCACATGGGAAGGCTGGTCTACAAGGGTCAATCTTAGGTCTTTGCACACAGCTCTTCTGCCTGTTAATACATGTGAAAATGACACGCTCTCCAGACTCCTTATCCTCTCCATCTGGCCATATCTTACCTGAACTGATTACTTCTGGCCACAATAACCTTTCTTCTCTCTTGCTTTCCATATTTTAAGTCATGCAAAGCAATGGAATGTTTTAGCAAACTCTCTCCAGTTTGGTTTCACGTACACGTGTCTTACTTCTCCACTTATGTTCTATGACCTTGGTAGCAAAGAACATTTTTCTCACAATAGTCAAAGTGCAAGACAGAGGGCGGCCTACAGCAGGAGTGCAACAAACGCTGACTTGGTATGATATTTCCATTTATATAAGGAAAAAATGTAGGTCTGTCCATCCCACCCCCTAGGGATACCCCTCCTCCCAACTTACACAGCCAGCCCCTGGAAAAACCTCAAACAGAATAGATCTAGAACGAGAATGATGGAATAAATTAACACCTTCTTACATTTTCTCCTCAGCTGGCTGCTAGATACTGCACAACCCTAGGGGGCTCCACTTACCTGTCAGCCATCGACAACTTGTACATTTATTACAACAGCTGTCAGATGGCAGTTTTACACCTTGTTCTAACAGATCAGCACATTATAACAAACTTCGGACAAATGCCAAGTGCCCTGAGCAAGGGGCGCCATTTACAGTTGCACACAGGCAATGGAGGTCCTGCAACTCTTCAATAATGGGGAGAACTCAAAACAGCAAATCTTATTATAAAAGTTGTCTTATATGCATTCTACAAGTCCTGGTTTCTAAACGTGAAAATGTGACTGTGGTTATGACATCTTGATGGGCTTCTGGGCCCATCAAGAAAATAAAAAAGCAGCAAAAAGAAGAGGAACTATCTAGTCCAGAGGGAGAGGGAGGGGGAGTCCAAGAGGAGGGAGAGGCCTTTGAAGGGTCGGCCAGAACAGAGTCCAGGTGGCCCACAACACAGGTGTCTCTGAGGCAGAGACCAGAGTCCACACCCAGCTCTGTCCTCTACCAACCAGGGTGAGCAAGTATGTCCTTTATCTCTTGCAGCCTCGGTTTCCCCATCTCTACACTGAAGATGCTAAGCAAGTGCAGATTAATGATAACGTGTGCAAAGCATCTGGCCAGTGGTAGGGGATCCACAAACAGAGGCTGCCACCACCAGCTATGGGTCTGCCCTTGGCATCTTGTCCATCCTGTTCGTGTCTCTAAATTGATTTTTATTATCAAAAGGGATTATTCTAAAGAAATAATCTTGATGAATTCTTACTACTTGAAGAAAATTATGTTTCAGAGCCATAAATATATTTCTATTTCATACCTTCTTCTTGATTTATTTCTTCTGAGTGCAAGACCTTCAATTTCCTCAACTGGACATTCAGTATTAAGTAGTAGTCAAAAATAACACCTGGAATTTCTGTAAGATATACCCCTAGTCCACAGAATTCAGAGTTCATGCTTCTTCATGGGAAAAGGGCTCTTGGTATTCACGGCTTACAGCATGTGTAAGTTCTCCCGTCCGTGGTGTCGCACATCACCCACTACAGTTCCCCTTCCCTGGAGAAAGAACTCAGGGTCACGGACAGAAGTGAAACACAGAACTTCTACAAGACACCCTGCTGGTGTCCTCTCTAATTCTCTGTCGACACACACACAACAGGCAACTCCGACATGCGATTACCAGCTACCACTTCCCAACTCACTCCTTCCCTCTGAACCTCCATCTCTACTCACAAATTCCCAAGACACGTGAATAAACAAAAACACTGAGCACATCTCACTTCCTGCCCCAATTCAGGAGGCTTATACCTTGGTTTTTACTAGTCAAGTTTAAAGAGCAGGATGTGAAAAACAGGGAGGCACCGATACCTATCACTCCTCATACCAAAAAATACTCCAAACAGATTAAAGATCCAAATGAGAGAAAAATGACCCTGGAAAAGTAAAATATGGACGAACATTTCAGTAATTTTGAAGTAGGAGAGACCTTCCAATCACTCCGTTATAAGGAAACAACCCAGAAACCATAAAGGAAATTTTGATCAAATAGAAATTTCAAGAAGTTCTTGAGCAAGGTTGAAACACACACAAAAAACCAAAATCAAAGCAAAGCACAAACAAGGCTGAAAGATAAAAAACTGGGGAAAAATGCCTGAGACATTTATGACAGAGAAGTGATGAGCCCAATAAACAAAGAGTTCATACAGATTAATAACAGAAAAAAGATGAAAACTACAAGAGAATAAATGGCCAAAAGGGAAACTGTCAAAAGAACTAAAAATGGTTGATAATATAGATGTTCAAACTCGCAAGCAGAGATATTGACAAAAATCACAAATTGGCAATTAAAGAGAAAAAGTGACAATACTCAGTATGTGTGAGGGGAGAAGGAATTTTTGTGCACTTTCTGGAGGGAAATTCGAAAATTTTAAATGTGCACATTCTTTGACCAAGCAATACCACCACTAGCAATTTATCCTAAAGAAATAATCAGGCAACTATGCATAATTTATAATATGGAAAATTTGATTTAAATGCTCCCAACAGGGAACTGGTTAAACAAAATTACGATACATCCATACAACACCACGTATTTATTCATTACACGCAACGATGCTTGTCTATATTCCCTTGACATATTACTAAGTGAATAATGCAGATGCAAAACTGCATATGTGATATGATTCCTTTTCAAAGATGAAAAGATAAGATTCTATAAACCCTTACAGCCACCTGAGCAGAGCCAGGTGTCTGGAAGGAAGTGTCCCCCTATGTCAATGGTTTCTATTCTGTGGGGTTTCTTTCTTTCTTTTTTCTTTTTTTGTCATTTGGCTTTTCCACACTATTCATGTATTGTGTTTGTAAACAGATAAAAACAAAGCCAAAAAATTGGATTTTATGCTGCCTACCTCAAGTCCCACTGAATGGCAGTCACCTTGATCTGGCAGTCAGGATCCTGAGTTTCATCTCATCCCAGCTCTTCCCCCCAAAGTGTGACCATGTACAATTCATGATATTTCTATTATTCTTCTCTATTATTTCAGCAAATATGATCTCAACATAGTAAGGAATGATTTTTAAAATCCATTGAAAATACAGTAATTCTAATATAAATCTAACAGGATTTACATTAGTTACTAACAATAGCATTATATATACATATCCACAGAAACACACATATATAAAACAGTTTATAAAGTGTTTACCACAAATGTTATTAGTCCTGCAATCACCTTACGTAGTGGGTTTTATTGTACCTATTTTACAGATGAATTTTAGAGAATTCAAGTGAAATGAAGGTGAAACAAAGTCACTTGCAAACAGATTAGGACTTAAAAATCCACAAACTCTAGGGCCGGCCCCGTGGCTTAGTGGTTAAGTGCGCGTGCTCCGCTGCTGGCGGCCCGGGTTCGGATCCCGGGCGCGCACCGATGCACCGCTTCTCCGGCCATGCTGAGGCCACGTCCCACATACAGCAGCTAGAAGGATGTGCAGCTATGACATACAACTATCTACTGGGGCTTTGAGGGGAAAGAAAATAAATAAATAAAATCTTTAAAAAAAAAAAAAGTGAAACTTTGGGGCTGGCCCAGTGGTGCAAGCGGTTAAGTGCACACGCTCTGCTGCAGCAGCCTGGGGTTCACCAGTTCAGATCCTGGGTGCGCACCGACGCACCCTTGGCAAGCC